GCCCCCTCCATGACCGTGGCTCCCGCCGTGCGCCCCTGGCCTTCGAGCCCTTTAAGGCGTGGTGCACGGGGCGGGGCTGGACGCGCAGTGCCGGAGTGCCTGCGGGTGGGAGCGGGGGGCGCTCCTGGGATCCGCTCCCCGAGATTCCACGGACGGATCTGCTAGGTCCGACTCTGAAACAAACCCCGAGGGCCGCGAAAGGGCCGCGCGGTTCTCTTCCAACGCACCTGCGGCTCAGCTGCCCCCTTCCGGGGGAACTCAAGTCATCTGGGACTAGCGCCACAACCGCCAGCCCTGGGGCTGCTCAGCCGCCACCCCAGAAATCCCCATTTAAGGTACCTCCTCTGAGACACTGGAAATGAGCGGGAGTCTACCGGACCGGCAGTGCCTTGAGACATTCAGTTGCTTCCACTGAAAGAGGGAGGATCACAATCAGTTTCCTCCGGAGCTGGGACTTCTAAGCCAGCCACCTCCCCCGGGGATCCTCCAGCTAGCTGTGTACCCACCAGAACCCACCTCCATTGAGACCCAAACCAGCCACCTCTCCTAGTAAACCTTACTGCGGGTGCTCCCTCCGGAGATCTCCAAACAGCCACTTCCCCTGGAAAGCCCAGTGCAGGACCATCCTCCTCCAACCTCCTGTTTCCAAGATGCTTAGGATCCACCCCTGAACTTCCACAACAGCTGCCTCTTTGGAACCCCAGTCCAGCGGCTCATCCCAGAGGAACTCCACACTCAGTACTACTCAGGACGCCTAGCCGCTGTTTCCAGTATCCCTCAGGCCTAGACACCTCTCGCAGGCATCCTCCCCAGCCCAGTAAACCTGAAGGTTCGGGAACCTAACGCGTGCCTTGGCCCCCAACAGATGCATCTGGGACCTGAGCAGTCACTTCATAATCTCCCAGAGCACTGGCAGCACCTCCAGGAATGAGGATCGCCAAGGCACCCCACCACCTCCACTCGGGGCTCCCAGCCATCACGTCCCCTCCGTGCGCAAGACCCACCCACCTGCACTGAGTCCTGGGGCTGGCCTAAAGTTGGCTCCCTTGGGGAATCTGCACCGATGCGGACGGCGCCAAAGACGCGTGCGCTCCCGGCCCAGTTGAGGTGGCTGCTGCCGGCACCCAGTCCGATAGGAGGCTGAGGGTTTGGACTCTGGAGGCTGGGCTGGAATCCCCTCTTCCGCAGCCTGACTGGTCGCTGGATAGGGACAGGAGGCGAGTGAGGAGCGCTGCCGAGGTTGTGCTCGCGGGCAGCGTCAGGATGCGGCGCTGTCTGCTGGTGGTCCGCTTTTCTGCAGGTGGCCCAGGCTGCACCACCACACAAGTCCGCTAGGAGGCGCGGAAGGCAGGCGGCGCCGACCCCCGCCCAGAGCGGGTTACCTCACCCAGCGTTACCCCAGAGAGGTAACAAACAGCTTATTTCAGTGGCTTAAAGCAGCAAGAGGCAAGGAGCTCATAAATACACCGCTTGGTTTCTTCCTTTCTTGGTTTAGAAGCTCCTGACTCTCAGGCAAATGGGAGGCTTGGATAGCAGGGTTTTCCCGTTGAGGAGACAGTGATGGAGTTACAAAAGCATTTAACTGGTATTTCCCAATCATCAGGTTAATTTCAGCGCTTTTATTTTTCCCTCCAGTGAGCTAGACAGAGTGGATTTAGCAGTGAATTTCAAGTAAGTCCTTCCCTTTGGAATAGTTTTGTTATTCCCATTCACGAGGAATTGGAAATGCTTTCTGATCCAGTCAGCACTGGGAGAAGTCTTCATTCCTTAGGTCGTTTTAGGGAAAGATCTCAAGCAAAAATAAATAAATTAGTTAAAAATCTACAGTTTCAGGTGATTCTGGTAATCTGTAGCCTGAAGCCATTTCTCCCTCTTTGCCATGCTTCAAAATTAAAATCCTAAATGAAATGTTAAAGATGGCTTCTCTGACTCCTAGCTCCTTTTCTATTCTAAAATCATTCTTTGAAGTAATTTACAGTGGCCAAAAACTAAGGCAGAAAAAAAAAGTGAGGATTCAAAAATGGACACGGCTCTTTAAAAATGATTAAACGCATATTTCCTCCTGACATTTCACTTATCATCCCTCTTTTGATTATGTGGCCAGAGTTGAGTTAGCTAAGGACAGGCTTTCCTGACTCCACACTTACAGCCCTGCACCAAGACATCCTGGGCTAGACCACTGCTGCCGCCCTGGGCCCAGGGTTCTAGGTGAGCCAGCATCCCAGGATGCGCCTGGGGATTCTGGTAGCACTGGGAAGGGGTAAGAGGCAGAAGTTGTCTTTTTCTTGCCCTGGAGAGTTGTATCATAATATTGTTTAAAAACAACATTCAACGGAATAAATTTTAAAGATCTTATTGGCTTTATTCAATGATTCCTGAATCAGGCAGCATCCAACCTAGCAGATATAAAGGAGCACTGAGGAGCTGTACAAAAATGAAAGACTTATAGTCAGAAGGGAGTAGCAACAAGGAAGTTATACTAGGAAAGGGAGGATTGGTTATGGCAAGGTTACTTTCCCTATGTGGGGGATGGCAGGGGTCGATCAAGCAGATTACTTAACTCATGCTGACCAGGTGATTCCTGACTGGTTTAAAATTCCATCTCTGGGATAGCTGAAACTGTAATTAAGTTAAATCTCAGTTTGGTAACTTGGGGCTTAGCATAAGTGGCTCCATTTTGGTCCTGTTGTCTTGTTTTTAACAATATTAATAGTCTCTCACACAAATTACAGGTTAAAGTTACAGACCAACCAGGTGAGGACTAAGTGACCCTGATCCTCTCCCCAAGCCTCAGTTTCCCCATATGTCAAATGAGAGGGCTGGTCACGATAGCTAATCTCTGAGCTCTCATGCCCTGGGTTTTCTGATTATCTATGCCATCCGAGAGCTTAAACCTATGGGTTAAAAGACATCTGCCCCGCTCCATGGTGGGAATAGGAGGGGTTTTCCCTGAAGAACCCTGAGGGGTAAGTTCAGAACAGAAAACACTGGCTCTGCAGAGCACAGCCTGCCCCCCACTCCTTGAAGAGAGCTGCCTTCAGGGAGTGGGATTCCTGGGCCATCTCCCCAGGGCTGGGCTCTTCCAGCCCACGTGGAGAGGTCTGCCCAGTCCTGTGTGTTCTCTGCACTGTGGCTGGGACTGCCAAGTGAGTTCTGGATTCACTTAGCAGGACCGTCTGGTCTCAAGCAAAAGCTAAGCTCTCATTTAGCCTTCATCTGAAACAAGAAAGTGAATAGTGTGAGACCCATTTTCTCTCTTATGTTTTATTTCTCAACATGTTCAGAAGCCAGGCAGGGGAGAGAGGTGCTATTTACTGTGGAGTCCCGTGAAGACACCTCACAATGAGGAAGACATGCTCCCACCCCCTTGACCTCTAGCGAGGGAGACAATCACTCATATATTTGCAGTGTAACTATTCCATGTAGGTGGGATGAGTGTCTGAAACCTGGGGCATTGCCACTAGTGTTAATAAATACTTCTAGAGATACCAAAAGTTTATACTGAAAAGCATAGGGAACTATATTCAATATCTTGTAGTAATCTATAATGAAAAAGCATATGAAAATCAATATATGTACATATATAACTGAAGCATTATGCTGTACACCAGAAACTAACACAACACCGTAAACTGACTATACTTCAATTAAAAAAAGGAAAAAAAATCCTTATTGGTGCTGAAGGACCTTGCAGGCCTTGCCAAGAACAGATTTTATTCTGTAAACTAATGTTCCCCCCAAATGTGGGATGGAATACTTTCTCTGATGTTACTCAAGATGTGGATTTACTGTTGAGAGATACTGAGTAACATGGTGAAGAAATGAGTTCTTTAATAAGTTCTATTTCATTCCTTTGAGTTCAGCAAAGAGACACTCTTTATAACAAAAATCATAAAGGAAGCTTTGAGGAACAGAGTTGGGGAAGGCTGGGCACACAGAACGACTGCAAGCAGAACATAGTCATGTGCTTTAGTGAGACATCCCTGGTGGCCACAGGGAAGATGGGAAGGAGATCCTGGCATCAGAAGACCCTTGCAGATCCAGGTAAGAGACGCTATTATAGTCATAGACTAGGTGGGTGACACTGGAGAGTATTAAGATTCTCCAGAGAAACAGAATCTATACTGTATACACACACACACACACACACACACACTTATATGCATGAAAAGAGATTTAGTTTAAGGAGCTGGCTCATGTGATTATGGAGTCTGGCAAGTCTAAAATCTCCAGTTTGGACAGACAGCCTGGACACCTACAGAAGAAGCAGTGCTGTAGTTCAAGGCCATCTGCTGCAGAATCCCTTCCTGTTCATTGGAGGTCAACCTTTTTTTTTCTATGCAGGTCTTTAACTGTTTGGATGAGGCCCACCCACATTAGGGAGGGCAATCTGCTTTACTCGGAGTCCACTGACGTAAATGTTACTCTCATCCAAAAATACTCACACAGGAACATCCAGAATAATGTCTGACCACATACCTGGGCACTGTGGCCCAGCCAAGTTGCCACATAAAGTTAGCAATCACAGAGGGAGTCTCAGCCATCACTGTTCTACCAATTTCCCAGTCTCCCTGAGCAGCCAGGCCTCTTGAGGGTAGGGCCAGTATTGTATCTATAT